CGCCTCAGCCCCGCCCCGCCGCTCCGCTCCGCTGCCCCGCCGCCGCCGAAGCCTCTCGGTGTTCCGGGAGGATGGGGGAGACCTGGCTACCGTTTGACGTTGGTCAGCTGTGACCAAAACCAGGCCTCAGAGACGAGTGTCCACTGGCCTCCCCGAAGCTGAGACACAGGGCTAGTGCTGGCCACCACCCTTCTGTCCACAGCTGCTGTATTAGCGAGTCATCCCTGCTTAGTCCTTCTAGTATTTTGTCACGGATTTCATGCCCATTAATTTGTCTAATCCCTTTTTAAACCTCCCAGTACCCACTAAAACCTGAGCTTGCTGATGCCCCCAAAACCTCACATGGAACAAATTTCAGAACGTCAATACCTGTTGCTCAAAAATGCACTTTCTTACTTGTTTTCTAACCCTCTCTTAATTCCATCACACGATTCCTGCCTTGGCATTGCAGGATCTGGTGAATGCCACCTCTCTACCTTATCTGTGGCCTTTATAGCAATTTAGAAACCGCCAGTACATTGCCCTTCAGCTTTCTCCTGTGCAGTTTGGAGAGTTCCAAAACTTGGTCTGTAAAGGAAGTGCTCCATTCCCTTGATGATTTAAGTTGTCCTCCTCTGTACCTTTCATCACATCATTGCACCATGTTTGAGATGCAGAAACAAGACTGCACACAGTCCTCAAGCTGTGGGTGCACCAAGATTTTCTGCAAAATCCCTGTTTCCAACACCCTTCTTCATCATGTTCCCTGTTTTCTTGGCTTTTTGTCTGCTGCTGCCCAAGGAACCACCAGAAAGCTCTCAGCAAAGCTTGCAGGACCTCTTCTGCATTGTGAGGGCTGGTTCTGAGTCAAGCATCATGTAAACTTTTCACTGACAGTTTGAGCACCCTTTATCAGCCACTCCTCGAGTTTAGCCCTCATTGTTTCCTGTTTACACTTCGTGCACCAGGTTTTTCTGGGCTTCCTTACTTGCCTCGCGATAGCCTCCTTAACTTTCTCATGGAGTCATGCAGCGGGGAGGTTTGGGCCGTGGTTTTCTATTTGTGTCAGACATTTTACCTGGGCTCCTACTACAGTATTTTTTAAACCTTCTGGGTGTTTGTAGGCTTCTTGCTTCTGAACTGCTCATTTAGGGTTTTCTGGCATTTTTCCCCATTTTTGCATAGGTCGCTTTCTTAAAATTGAGTATCCGTTTGCTTTATTTGTCTTGCTCTCTTCTTGTAGTGTTAAGCTTAATTATATTGTAGTTGCTACTATGGAGCAGCTCACCCACCAATAGCTCTTGAATTAGATCCTCTGCACTGCTGAAGACTAAATTCAGAAAGATGTTTTTTTTCTTCTGGGTTTTAAGGCCAGTTATTCTAGAAAGAAATCATTATTGCATCCAGAAATGTTATCTCTACATTTCACCCTGATGAAGCATTGACCCAGCTGTATGTGGGTGGCTGAGCCCGCCCACTACATGTCCTAAATGTGCAGCTTCTCTAATCTCAATGCAGTTGTTGAAATGAATCAACACAAGGAAATGAGCAACCCAGCACACCTAACTTGCATGAGGTTTTCTAGATCAAAATCAGCAGTATCGCCTGCAAAGTGCAGTATGTTGATTTCTGGTATAAACGAGGTCTGTGCAAGACACTATTAAATTAAGCCCTGACCTGGCAGTGAGTTCTTATGGGTAAAAGGAGCTGTAGTGTTGAATTCCTCCCCATCAGATTACAGTCTGATATGCAGCTGCAATTTAGGCAAGCGGAAGTTTTCAAATCGTCTTGCAGATAGAGTGCGTTACGTCTTTCCGATGGGGAAGGAACAAAAGCATTCACTAGCTTATTTCATAAGACTGTGCTGTTTCAGTTCAGTCAGTTACTTGCACTAAAATCAACATATTCCACAGTAGTATTCTGGAGGTTTGTGCTTCACAGTATTGTTTTTTTCTAAAATTTCATAAATATCAGTGTTACTCATGTAAAAAATGCCTGAGTAAAAGCAAACTTTAAATACCCAGAAAGCTTTCTAAAATTCTGCTGTCCTGAGACCAATTCATCTCTGCTACTGAAGTCCACATCCTAGATGAAAGAAGACACATCTGATAAAAGATTGTCTATCTTTTGTCTACCAAATTGTCTATCTGGATTGCTGCGACTAATGCCTTCAGTTCCCTGTGTGACCGGCTCCTCTCCCTCTTTCCAGACTCACATGTGTATGATGTCCCACCTCCCTCGTGGCCTTTCACAAAACCTACGTCCCCATCTGTTTAGCTGGGCAGGCAGGACTTTGTGCTCATTCTGTAGCTGGGTTGGAGCTAAATGCATGCTGGCCAGTAGCCACCTCTCAAAAAGAGTGTAGAGCTCAACTGGGCACAGTCAATGCAGAAAGTTATTTCTCCTTCTACCCAGACATGGAATTTTCCCAGAAGTTTTCACCATAGATTATGGTTGCAGCCTCCATCCTATCTCTGCTTTGTCAAATTTGGTGAAAATTAGCCTGAAGGTTCAAAAGTTATGAAGGAAAGGAGGAGTGGAACAGATGGATGAAAGAAGAGTTGACAGACAGCATGATCTCATAATTCCCACTGGTACAGGAATTCAGGCTAGAATTGAAATATTTTAGGTCAGAACATTATGCACTTAAAAATCTCATTTTGAAAGAACAAGCCTCTAATGTGAAACAAATTTTCATTTCTTAGTCCACTGATCGGCTTTTAGGGCAGAGATTAAACAACAGCATTCCCCTAGAAACACGCTATAAGCATATCTTCAAAATTTCTTACAGCCCCTCTCCCCACTCAACCACAGCCCCCTGTGATTCAGTGTTTGCTTTTGCAACTCCTTATGGGTCAAGATTGTTTTTTCTCGGATTCATTTTTTTCTTGATTGCATTCAGTCAAAACATAATTAAAGGCTTACCTTACCCTTTTTTTCCATTCTTGGAGCAGTTGTTTTGCATCTGTGTCGGAGAACTGGAGAGGTTGCTTAGATAGCATATTGCCATTACAAGCCATTTTATGGTGGATTCCAGCAGATTAAGACATAGACATTTCTGGAAGGATGTCTGCACTATTCCATCAATGCCATGTTGCGTTTGTTCCACTGCAAAATGACATTGTTGTGTCTGATACCTCAGAGAGAAGCTATCAGTTACCCCTTGGCCAAGGCTATAAAAAACAGCCTAAGAGTGCAGTTGCCACAATATAGGCATTGCAGCTGGCCAGTGTAAACCCTCCCACTGGGGTACATCTGTCAGTTGAAAAACTCTTGGTTTGGTTTAGTTTTATGTGGGGAAAAAAAACAAACAACAAAACAAACAAACAAACAAACAAAAAAAACGCACAGAGAAGACATGGAAATAAGCTTTTAGCTGATGAACCATAACTGTATAGTAGCTTTTTCATTTTGCATCTTACTGCACATCTGCTAGAAGCAGCAGGATGTTAGAGGTCCCTGCTGCACATTGCTGGAGTAGCAACCACTCTTCGGAAACACCCTGTCCTAAAAGGTAATTCATTCCTTTAAGCAAATTCACATTCTGAATTAAGCACAGCTTTTGAAGTGCCATGTGAACTTTTATTATAACAAAGTCAGAAGACAGGAATTTGGCACCGGTTTGCTTTCTCTCCCAAAGCACATGTATCTTCTCTCTAGAGGAAGGGTAGATTTCATTCTGAGACCTTGTATTCCCAGAAAAGCAGGTCAAAGTGATTAGTTTTCTTCAGCTTTGTTGGATTCAATGCCATAAATACAAAAGAAGCACCTACACATTTGGGATAACCACTAATGTATTAAGACATGTAATGCACAAGGTTATTTTTTTTCCAGAAAATTGTTTACTCTCCTGACCCTATTTTGGATTAAAACCTTGAGTGGGGCTGATCAGCCGGGCTGTCTGCAAGTGGGTTTTCTTCACAAGAAACTGAACCTTTGTGTGAGAACGTACACTAGGACTCAGCAGGAGCCTCAGCAGGGACTGTGACCGCCAACCTGACCCCTCCCGGTTCCTTGCTCTGATCCCCGTCTCCCATCAGGTGCCAGCTGGCTCTTTCCCAGTGGGGCAGTGGTTCCTTCGTACAGCCATGACACAGGAGAGCCAGCGT